TTGCTTGACATTCCAATTAGTTGCTATCACATTCATTGCTGCACTTTTAACGGCAAAGCCGTGACTTTTTTTCTCATGAATATCAACTCAGTCTATATGTGCATCGTTACATGGAGCAAACATCTAGCTGACATTCCCATTCATTGAAAGCTAATGTGTGTTAACGATGTGGCAGCTATCACAGTGTTTACCCATAATAAACACTGTAGAAAGTGCAAAAACAAAGAAAAACTCGTTTCTGTTGACGGCTGCTTAATTCTCTCAACTTCATTTAAGCTTAGAAGCACGGAAGATCGGGCGAGTTTGTAAGACATGAAGGAACAAATTTGAAGCACAAAAAACAAGAACCGAAGAGAAGAGTAGACATGACGAGTGCTACTAGAAATTAGGCTTAGAAGCACAGAAGCTTGGACGAGTTTGTAAGACATGACTTCATGTCTTACAAACTCGCCCAAGCTTCTGTGCTTCTAAGCTTAATTTCTAGTAGCACTCGTCGTGTCTACTCTTCGGTCCTTGTTTTTTGTGCTTCAAATTTGTTTCTTCATGTCTTAGAATCTCAACTTTAGTAAGTTCGTGCCGTCCTCTAAGCAGTATGTGCTTAGCCCTAAAGTGTTGCTCTTGAACGGCTTAACCCTCGTGTTGATGTGTCAAAAGGAGGAGGATGAAATTTGACTAAAGAGTAGTTTCAGGGGTTTGGAGCTGACCGCCTGTGTACGATGACCTCTTCGCTCAAGCAACGACTTCTTTTTGCACTTTTTTGTGAGGAATGCATTAGGGTCTCTCATATCGTTTCTGAGGGAACTGGCAGATATTATCTGGGTGGCGAAGGCCGCCATTTTCCCAGAAGATGTGACGAGTTTGCTGTGGAATTATTATTGTAACATTTGCATATTGAATCAAGCTCTCCACGTGTGAACATCATTAAGCGATGAGGAGTGGTAAGGGTGTTAGTTTGAGTTCTGCAGAGGATAGTGGCCTGCGCTCTCGTGAGGTTGTGGGTTATATGGGTACATTTTCCTGTCCTCTCTAAACAGATTCACTAGTTCCTTGTAGGAGTCTACTAACCATCTCTCTGGATGTGTTTCTTCATCACCGGTGTTCCCCAAGTGGTATGCCCAAACCTTCAGAGTGTGGCAATGGACAGCTCATATGTACCTTCCTCAAGTACGATGCGCCCCTGTACATATTTCATGCTTGCCATAGAGTTTCCTAAATATACACTATAGGGAACTCCGGCGCTAGTGTCTATGGCAGCTGCAACGCATGGTGCTTCAGCAAGCATGGGAATTATGTGTAGTACACGGATTTGCCTAGACTTTGTACTTTACAATCTTTTTGGCTTCGCGTGGCCTGAAACTGCTTTGTCGCAAAACAACACTCGGCAAATGTTCAGCTGTTGGGCTTCACCACTTTGATCTTTTGCAATTACCGCATCAAATCGGCTCACGAAGTTCAAGAGGGTTTGTTATTTCCTTCGAAACAACGCTGAGACCAGCAGTAAATGAAGCCACAAGTGGCATTCGTCACCTGCAAGTACAGAGTCTAGGTAAATCAGATCAGTGTACTAACCATCATGCCCATGGTTGCTGAACGATCACAGAGCCAGAGTCCCCTTTAGTTAATTTTAGGAAACTTTATGATATCCGCTGAATACAACCCGTTTGGAAGTTGAATGGAAAAACTTCGAGAATGCTTCAGCTTTGCCTGTAACCCTTAACTGCTGTTTTTTTTTAATTTCCTGTAAAAAGTGCCTAATGCTGATTTCGAATCTGATTGTACTAAAAAGTAGCTAGTCGATGTTTAAAAAATATTTTCACCATAAATTTAGTAAAATCAACGGAATAAAGTTTATTTCTGAACAATGCATAGGAAACCAGCTACCTGCTGCTAATGTAATTTAAAAGCCTTATAAAGCAAACAGTTACTGACGCCACATCTTTCTTCACTTGTGTAGGCTAAGCACCTTTAGGGTATTTCACTTGGGAAGCTTCAGAGCTGTGTGAAAAATTTTAAAACTTAACACAAAGCATCTTCACTGGTGGGCACTTGCAATGTTCGGGTGCAAGCTGTCTTCATCATCACCGGAGTAGCTACTCAATCCACCTTCATCGCTGTCTTCACTTCTGGGCACAAAATGAATATCTGCACTCGAATCATCATCACTCAACGAAGATGACGAAAATGAATAGCATTTTTTGTGTGTTTACGGGCGAAGGTACGCATGGGTAACCAGCACCGCACGCCGTCTTTTCGTACAAAAATTGCACTCCTGCCACAGGAGAAAACTAAATCTTCAAGCAAATGCTGCCATCTTGCAGATAACATGCAATGTAAGCCGTAAATGCGCGCTTCTCAATCTAGGCGCTAGAGGTGAGTACCTATTCTGCTAGGAGGAGTTCTGCTCATCCAAAGCAGTTTGGTGACAGTTTGGGTAGGAGAAGCTCTGCTCGTTCAAAACAGTAAAGGGCTTGATTAAAAGTACAATGCAATAGTGTGACTAGGCTCTGTGCGCATCACCTTCTCAATTGCTAGCCTTGTTTTGCTTCTGAGTGGATGCCTCAACAGTGCCGCAAGAAAACAAATATCTGTGTGCCGTCTCAAGCTGTCCGAGAATGCCTACTACAAGTATATTTGCGAAGTGCCTACTAAACCAAGCTTCTTCCTTTTGCGAATCAACAAAGAGCCCGCTAGTGTCTGTAAGGCAACAAGCAAACCTACGCAGCTCCTTGCTGTGTTGATGCTTAAGTGGATGATGAGGATTAAAAATGTCTGAACACTTTTTAATGAGTGGACCTTTCAAACACCGGCTCGTTGTGCAGTTGACGTGTTTTTGATTCTATGCGCAGCTCTGCACCTCTGCCACGCAATATAACATGCGTTAAGTGAGTCTTCCCACTACAGGGCATTTGTGTAGTTTTTTTTTTTCCGATCACTTTCGAGCAATGGTGTGGCTCTGCGGTGGAACACCTGCTTGGCCCGCAGAAAGACCGAGTTGTCTGACTCAAACTGATGATATTGTCACAGGGTCGTGACGTCGACGAAAAAGCAGAGAGTACGTTGAAGATTAAACTGTTTACTTGGGCGAACCTGTGCCCGGTAAATGGAAAGGCGGATCACAGTAGCAGGCTTTCACTGATAGCAGGGAACGGAGCGTCAGTCGTCGATAAAACTGACAAGTCATAGTCTGATGGTCATAGGCATTTCGTTGGTACTTTGGTGGTCCGCAGATACGAGAGACACGAAAGCCGTCGAGCGACCTCTTCGCGTACATATTCTTTTATCTGCACTACCGGGGTGTTGTCACCACCGACGGTCAGAGGAGCGAGAGAGTCGTCTGCTGTTATCATCCTCCGAAGTGATGCACGTTGCTTGCGAAGTTTTTCCAAGCTTTGGCACAAGGTACTTGGGCCCTTCGCCAGCAACATTTGAAAGGCATCATCGCCTATGCCTTTCAAGATATGCCTGATCTTGTCTCGTTCAGTCATCTCAGGGTTCAAATGCCGGCATAAATCGATGGCATCTTCGATATAGCTTGTGAAGCTTTCGCCCTACCTTTGCGCACGTCCGCGTAGGCACTGTTCGACACGGAGCTTGCACACTGCGGGGCGATCAAACACAGCTGCAAGGGTGGTATTGAAAGCGGCCCAAGTGGCAAATTCAGTACGGTGGTTTGTGAACCACAGGCTGGCGATGTCTTTGAGCTAGATTGGGACATACTCCAGTTTCGAGGAGTCGTCCCACTTGTTGGCGGCGCTCATCTTTTCAAACAGATGCAGCCAGTCTTCCACATCTTGGTCCTCAGTGGCGCTGAAGATCTCATTGGCGTGAAGTGGTAGGCACGATGACCGGTGGAGATTGGGCTGTGACCCATGCAGCACACTCGACACAATTCTGCCATACAACCCTGATTGCTCCAAGTTTAGCGTAGTTTCTGAAATGGCCAAACTTGCCAAGGAGTCGTCAGCTTGCATGCTCATTCACAGCCGACAATCAAGCCCTCCGAAAATATTGTCATGACCGTGATCTTGTCCAGGATACTTTCCCCATTCGTTCTCTCGTGTCGCTCCGACTGCCTTTCCACTCTACTGGACCAAGTTTGCACTGAAGTATAATGGCCCTTAGTGCCTCATTTATTGCTCCTCTTCTGTAACCTATGTGATTGAACCGCTCGAGCCTGTCCACACACAGACAAGCGCCGTCTTGCTCGTGAGATGGTCCACGTCAGTCCCCTCAAGCCCTGCTATGACCTTCTTGTTCTCTCATCACCTTGAGTCACCAGGATGGCTCATCTTCGTCCACCTGCTATCTATTCGCAAGGCAGTGACCAGTGGGACCATCTCTTACTGCGAAGCGCAAGCGGTGTGCACGAGCTGTAGAGGCTGGGCTGTTCAAGCATTTCTATCTGTACAGACTGTCTGCCTACTACCTAATGTCGTTATTAAACTCCCTTGCAATATTTAATATTTATTTTGTTAGCATTTTGCTCAACTCCTCGCTCATGGACGACGCTGATTTCACGCTTTTAACCCCCATTACCTACGCCAGAATTTCTGCACATCGAGTTTTTATATAGTATCACATTAAAAAGCCTGCATGTTACCTCCATATTCCAAGCATGCAAGTTCACTTTACACCTTAATGGAAATGGGCCTCACTAGCTGTGCTTTTAGTCTTCATGTCATTCACAGTCCTCACTTTCTGTTAGAGAACTATTGGTGCCGCCACCTACATTCTCGCATTGCCACGAAGCCACCTCGTACACTGAAATTTGTGCATATTGTGCATGTTGATTTTACTTCCGAATTTTTTTTAGTTTTAATATGCCACTATACTTGTGAAAACTTGGTCATTGTTTCAGTCGCATGGTATTGCAACTTGTAACCTTGCCTTTTGCAGCATTCATGGTCTTTTCACTGTCGGAACTGAACAAAGCATGAAATGACCAGTCTTTGCCCGGATGAGTAAAACCTAGCATTAAATGTTTTTTTTTTTTTTTATAGGGAAAGACGACAATTGGGACTGGGACGACAGCGATGGCCCTGATGAAGTTGTCGACTTCGTGCCCCCAACACCACCAAGGAAATCGCGGTCCAGCGGTGACGAATCTTATTGCAGCACAACAAAATGATCACCATGGCTAGATTTTTTTTTTTGTACAGAACAAAGATGCACCTCCAGAATTTCGTGCTCTGGAAAATTTGAAAGGTCACATTAATAGCACCCCACGTGAATGATGTCAGAACTAACACTACTCTTTTGAGGCTTCTTTACTTTGGGCTGCTGCTCATACATTGAGGGAGAGCAGAGATATCTTTTTGCTATACTTTTTGAGAAGATCCTTTCATCCAGCTTGGATGAAAAATGATGCACATTTTCCGAAGCGTACGTTACCTAAATGATTAGGCTTATGTTAGTGAAATAAGGCAATTTGTGCTGCTTACACCAAATTTTTTTCTCATCACATGCTATGATGACTCTTTGTTTGACAGTTGATTCCATTTGTCATTTGAAGTCGCTTAAGACAGGAGTGTATTTGGTTCGCAACTTGTATTTAAAGGTGCGCACACATTTTGTAAAATACCGAAGTGGACAAAAGAACACGAACACTCTATAATATTGTAAATAAAAAATATATTTGTGCTTTTCTGTAGGCCTTTTTTCCTGCATTCTTTCAATACTGCTTTGCTGAAGGGTAGATCACAAAGAGGGCCAGCTGACAAGCTGTTATCAGGGCACCCATGATGTTTGGTGTCTGCAAGAAAACAAAAGAAATCAGTGAATGTGCAAGTGACGAAAATGCAATGTAATGTATGTGGAGGTTTCTCTCAGACATTCTGCGCTCTCATCTGCAGCGATTCTACATGAAAATGAGTCTGAATTTCACAGCAGCAATCCACGGCGACTTGTAATCACTAATATAACCTTAGTAGCCTTTATCACCTGTTTGCCATGCATTTTCGCTAGGCACTTTCTTTCCACCTAAAATCTTGGTTTTGGTTTTGCTGCATGATTCAAGGGACAGGATGGCAACAGCATTAACTTCTACTAATGTCAGAGTCTGTTCTCGTGTGTTAGAGAACGCAATATGTTCTAAACTCCTTGTGGCTGGCACGACATGCAATTGGCAGCAGTTTTGATCAGTGATGCCATCTGTTCCACAGCTATAATGCTGTAGAGAAGGAAAGAAAACTAATCAAGATAGTCTATTCACACATGCCAAGTTTTTCTGATTTCGACCGTTGCTTACACTTGTACAGTTGGCAGAAAAATTTCTTGGAAGTCAAAATTTCCGTGCATTATCTCACCAAATTTACAAAAACTCAATCCAGATGATATGACGAAATTGATGATGAGATGAGTAGAAATTCCTCGGCCGAATTCTACTTGGTCCAACAGACCGAAGTTTGGATGTTCTGGGCACTTGTCCATGTGATACGAAATTTGGTACCGAAACCATACAGCGACAGCTGAAAGTAGCACGGTGGGTGTTTCGGATGTATGTGCACGTTCAGACCACACGCTGTCAGAACAGCAGTTATCATTTGCCACAGCTTCTGTGAACGAAGGTGCGGCCGCTCTTGACACATTCTTGTGCTACAACGAAATCGACAGAACACTGAAGGTGCACGTGCATCTAATGCTTACTCAGTCAAAGCGAGGCCCTTTTTCGAAAGTGCTGTGGACAACACCACAGCAAATGCGGTCACAGCTAGCAACAAACGATGTCATTTTGAAGGCATGTGCGCAAGCAGGTGCACGCTAAGTGAAAACTGCACGACTGTTTGTCGCAACTTCCGTGCATGAAATTGTGGTCATGCAACGCGATCATCAATAGCCACTATGAGCTCCGAAAGTATGCAGCTAACGCAGCGGTAGATTAAAGGCAATAAAGCCACAGAAAAGGCACAAAGCGTTTGGAGTTCCTGTCAATCTTATCTCTTGTGACCATGGTGGAGCCTCGAGGCACGTTTCTATGGCAGCCCTCTTCACCCTCCCTAATTGGTCCACGTCTGTCCCGAAAGTTTTTTCAACAGAAATAAACATTTTGGGCGTATATAGTGGTCCGAAAACCCATTTTGCAAGTATGTTGATTCAAATATTTTAGCTTTTTCTTGAGATTCATATCCCCGGGGTTTGTAGTTTGGAAACTACCTGCGCTGTTAATAAACTATTACAAGACCACAACGCCGACCGTTTATGCTTAAGCGGCTGTTAGGGACTGCCTCCTCCATCCTTCCGGAGCTTTTTTTTAAGAGGGGGGGGGGGGGGGTAAATTGTGAGCTGCATAGTTACCATGGCTGCCATGTGCCCACACGCACTCCCGCAATCACACTGCAAGTAAGCCGCATGCTCAAAGAAAGAAAAAATCGCCATATCCGCAGAGTGAATGATAATGAGTGGGGCAAAGCTTCGAAGGGTTTTATTGGCAAACTGTGAATCATCTGCTGGCCGCGTCTGTCTGTCCATCTAGTGAAAACTTCCAAGTTCCGCCATCTCGCATTTTTTCATCGTACTGCCATCCAGCAGTCATTCCAAGGACTAAAACAAGCTACATACAGGAGACGAACGACCCACGCCTTAAGGAGCTTCGCCCCTAAGACGAACAGGAAGTGCTCAAGCTCATAGCACACATTGAAAAAGGGACGCATCTTCCGGCCTCTTGTCAATCTCCTTCCTGCGTAGCTTTCAGCATGCTCGTTAGTACTAAAAGTGAGAAAGCGCTTGAAGCGCTCAAAAACTCCCTGCGACTCTGCTTGTACTTGACAGATTCTAAAAAGTTTTGTGGCAGTTCATTCATGAGACAATAAGCTCTTTTAATGAAGCCACTTGATCACTACTTGGAAAAGCGCTGCAGGAACTCTTTATTAAGGAAGTGGCAGCTTGGTTATTGGCATCCTTATATATAAGTGTAGGAAGCACGAATTAGGCTAAATGAACTTAATCATGAGCTTGTAAAGCCTTAAAATGGTGATCGATGGCTCGGACCAGAAGTTCGAATTGGTAAATGCACCTGTGCGTGAAACTGTCGTGCACTTATTACTTTCAGAGAACTAAGTTCAGGCACTTCACAGCGACATTAGCTACAACCTTTGGAACTTAAAATGCTACGAAATCTGCTTATACTGAAGACCAGGCAGCAAGGCCAAATACTACCAACCATAATGGCCAGACAGCTGATCTGAATGAAGTTCCGAGACAAAAAAAAAAAAAAGTAGCATGCTACTCACATAAATGAATGCATCTTGACAGATGAAGCCATACAGTGTCCACAAGGTCGACTACAACAAATGCGGACAGGATCAGCGGGAATGGGAGAGTTTCAACACTTTGCGTCCGGACCACGTGAAGCTGCAGTGTCAAAAGAATGCTTCAGAAAAGTAGTCTAAAGGCTAAGCAACAGATGCATGCCTAAACCTACTCACCAGGCTAGACAGGGGTGATGCGAAGAACAAAAATGCCGCAATACAGCCCATCATCCCCAGGATGGACAGTGCAACATCTTTGTCGGTGATGAAATAAGTGACCTCATAATAGACTCCGGCCAGCATAAAAAGAAGAACAAGAATCTTCCAGTTCAAGGTGCCCTGTTGATGAGAGCAGCCAAAAGAGAAAAAAAAAACGGGCAATCTCGATTATTGACCACACTGAATATATATAGCTGGAACAATGCCTGAAAATTGCAATCATGGGTCACAAACGACTCTAAAAAAAATCACAGCATATCCATGAGGTAAATGATGAGTGAGGCAAAGCTGACAGACGGACGGACAGATTAACTGATGGACGCTTCGCCCGACTCATCATCATTCTCTAAGTGAATATGCTGTGACACCGTTTTTACTAACATGCAATGCAACGCAACTGGCTACTACGACGACACGGGACATAGGACCCATGGGGTAAGGAGCTTCACCCCTAAAAAATCAACGCAGGGTGGCAACACGTGCGTTTGAAAAGCAACAAAAGAGCCAACAATATTGTTCTGAAAGTTGTGCTTGTAGAAAAATCCCGAACATTACTGCCATTGGTTCTTTCTGATAGCTCCTGCTGTCAGCTGATAACACTGGTGCAGTTTTAGATGATAAGAAACACACAGCTCACGAAAGATGCATAGTTTAAGAAAAGCAGCGCAGTTTTGTACACAATTCAAAATAAACGCCAATCGATCCAAACACCCACCTGAGGGCTGCAAGTAGACCCACTATATAATATATATATTCTTTAGTTATTAATACAATGTTTCTTTCATTTAGCTAAGAACAACTGTCACAGCAAACTGGCAGAACGAAGAAGTTGTGAGCACACATTAAATGTTTTCAACTGGTGGTTCTGATCACAGCCTTATTTCAGAAAAGAAAAACTTGTAGTGGGCCCCTGAATTGACTTAGAATTAAGTTATACCACCTACAGTTCCCGAGCAAGAACAAAAGGAAAGTCCACCATTGTTATCGCACTTTGCTTGCACTGATTGTGGCTGTTGCAGTTGGGGATTGAAACTGCAACTCCATGCTTAGTGGTGAAACGTCGCAGCCACAGAGCTACCATAGCAGGTAAGGATATCAAGCCTTCTGAATAACATTTTTTACTGCAATACAAAATTTATATATATTGCCATCATGTGTCAGACATTGTTAGCATGAAAAATTGAGTTACATAATCGACTAAAGCGAAACTCGCTTCACAACTTTTTCATTAATTTAAATACCCTGCATCCTAGCATGTCAATGTCCTATTCACATAAATAAGGCTTTTTTTTTTATTAGCTCAATACTGGATAAGGAAGCTTTTAATAGCCATTGAACATTTGAGATGACAGTCCGGAACATTGCGTGCAAGTACATTAGCAGCTTCATGTCGAAGTCATCATATGTTAGAAGCTTTCGTTTTATTTTATTTTACGTACGTATTCTCTCATCTAGAGCTTGTCTGTTTCTCTTTAGCTAGGATTTTGGGCAAGGGCTTTTCATTAGCTAGCTTAATTCTGACACTGTTGTAATTTAGCAATATAGTAGCACTAGGTGACACATTCCTGCTTCCTTGCTTCCATAGTGACGGCTGCAAAATTGTGTCAGCAACACAAGGCGCATGGGGTGGCAACATTGAATAACTTTGAACACACTCAATGAGTGCCACAAGTTAACGGCCTAGGAAGAAATATTTTTCATGCATTATCATCAATACTATGTTATTCCTTGAGAAGCCCCTTTTACCTACTCTTGGAAGATTGTATATTATTTCAGCATAAGGTAGTCGTACACAAATATCTTTTTGGGAACCTAGAATACCACTCAAAGTATTCATATAAAAAAATAGTCGGGAATACAATCTGTACGCGAACAATAAAGACAAATAGTCTGGAATACACTCCTATTTGGCAACACTTGTTTTTCTGCTCCCATCTGTGTCCGGTCATTTAACAACCCAAAATGCAGGTGTATAAAAACTGGTGCAGCAACACCAACAGAAATGGCAGAAAGGACACATAACCCATATTAGCACAAATGAGAGTTAAATGTGTCAAGTCTTTAATTTTCTTTTTGACAGAAGTGGAAAGATTGAAGACTTCTATTACAGAACTTTGGGATGTTACACAAAAAATCGTCATTGTTGCAACATCATTAGAACATAACTTGTTCACACCAGTGAT